TTCCATGTATAGGGTACGTTATGTACAATAGAAAGAATGAAGGATGTTAAGGGAGTTGCCTCATTGAATGCATGTGCATTGAAGTACATACATGTGTGGTATTTCAATTATATACCAATTTACATATAAACGTAGGAGTTACATGTACATGTACATGTACATGTAAACAAACAAGCAGGCTTCAGGTCACTAGTAAAATGAATTGCATGTAATTCACTTAATAAAGGGAAGGGAAAAGTATTTGAGGAAAGGTACTGAAATGGATTCTGTCATTAACTCACTATAGGTAGAGCATTACTTATCTATATTATAGGTGTACATGTACCAGGCTTGGGGCGAGTACTTTGGTACTCGTACTTAAGCATGCTTAAGCACAAGTTTGAAAGTACTCAGTATTTACTCAAGTACTTTTGAACAAAAATTACAAATACTCGTACTGTACTTAATTACTAGTATGTTTTTAGTGCTTACAAGTACTTTGAAGTACATTTTTCGATGCAATGCTAATGTGTTGACATAATAAATACTAGCTAGTGTAAACCACATATATTTACCTCCTGTGGGTCCCATACTATGACACTGGTCAGTTTGGATTTGAAAAGTTCATAAGATGTAATAACTGTCTGATTTAATTTATTAATTTTAAAACTAACTTATTAATTATTTGGGTGTGGTCAAGTGCTTAAGTAGTACTTAAGTACTGCAATAGAGTACTCGTACTCATACTGAATACAATTGTAAAAATGAGGGATTTGTACTCGTACTCATTTTAAAAATTTAACAGGTACTTGTAATGTACTTAAATACTTTTTAAAGTACTTCGCCCCAAGCCTGACATGTACATGTATATGACACAAGTACATGTGATAATAGCATGTGTTAGTGCTAATGTAGTACCATATACATGTACATGTACATGTGTAATGTACAAAGCTTCGAGAATGCATACCTGCTATTAGCAACACTTTCTTTGTATGGAACAAGCATAATAACATACTGCATTTTGAATTAGACATATAATACAGTAACATGCATTTACTATATGCACATGTATATCATTATCTAACCAGTACAGCTACTTACATGTACAGTACATGTACTATACTTAGCTATTGTGTTATTTGCAAGTGTACATGTACATGTACCTATATGAGTATATAATACTAAATCACATGTACATGTACATGTACATAGTAAATGCATACTTATAAGATATTATCCTTATTATCTGTATAACACATTACTCTTATTAATCAATACAGCCTTACCTGGCTGAGCTAAGCGACTCTATCCATCCTTTCTGCTCCTGATGTGAAAAAGCTTTCAGGCTATACATTCTGGACAGGTCACCCTCAAATGCTAAAGAAACAATCACTCACAAATATACATGTACACATGTACATGTACATATACATACGGCATTATAGTACACTTAAGTTACAATAGTGATAACTATAAAAACAGGATTAGGCAATTAATCATACTATACTAAATTCCAAGGATCGTTAAACACTAGAGCTCAATGCAATGTACATGAACATAGATCAGAGGAACGTGATCAATCATCATCACTTAATTATTATGCACTTCTCATTGACTCTAAGAAATTCCATATCTGCTAGAAGTAGCAGAGAGACAGAACAATATGAAAGGAAGTGGAATGAAGCAATAGCTATTTCAAGAATGAAAGGGAGAGGGAGGATCATGTACATTGTACATGTAAATAGTATTGAGAAGTCTGTATTAAACTACATGTAATAGTGCACTGTGTACATCAATCATTAATAGTACTGGGTATTGTACAAATGCATGAAGTAACAAAGTGA